TATTCCCCAATCTATTACATGAAATATGTAACCATGTGTTTGCAGTAATGCATGTCAAAATAAGAGGCTCAAAGAAATGTTTTATTTAAACTACTATCTTAGACCTCATGGTTTAACATTTTAAAATCTTCTAAATACTTGACTGCCTTATTGGGGACAGGGAAGAAGAAACTTTAATGTGGTTTTCTTGAGTGCTAGAAGATGAAGTCCTACACTAGAATGTAAACTGTAGAAATGGCAAGAAATAAGCAGATCAGGAGATGGTAAAGGAAACTGACATGACATTACGATCAGTTGAAGACAAGCTTTATATTTGATTCCAAACACAAGTTAAGAACAAATTAATACCTAAAACCAGGAGTCTCGGCTGGGTATCACACCCATCCAGGTTTTTAAAACAGAAATCGCGCTCATATCTGTAATATATGTATATTTGTTATTTATGTACATCTATTAATACTACATACATTATGAAACATGAAAATACATTTGAAATTGATAAAAGTTAAAATGTATTAACAGTATAAAACAATGACACCAGTGATTTTGAATATGCTTTATTTTTTAAACATTCTAAGTCACATAGTAATGTAAAGTTTACTTTGTAAGTAAGTTCAGTTTACTTTAATAAGTGTTTTTAATAGCTGTCATAGGTGAAAAAGATACTTTTCATCCAAATGGAAAATTTTTCTTTTCTAAAGTATGATACTCAGTTTTAAGTTCCTTCCACCAAGTTTATAGACTTTCATTGAAATTTGACTGCTAAATTTCTGTTATTCCTGAAATCAGTGTTTTCTTAAATACTGTTTTTAACAAATTAATTGAAAATTTGTCAAAATGCTCCATTTGAAAGATTTTTCAAGAGAAAACTCTTAAGCTTTTTAATGGTATAGATATAAGCATTATAGGTAACATCAATTTTGGCAACAATCATTTAATGATGTAAATACTTCCAAACATGCATTTTAAATGATTTTCTCCATTAAGAAATTTCTTTTATAAAGCAGTGAGTTTTCACTGTTATAATGTCCTCTTTATGTGGGCAAACTCAGAAAGTTCATTTTCTCAAAAACATCTGGTAAATATTCCTTAGGAACGTACCAAAGAAATGAACAGAAAATTTGTGATAACTGTCTTTTTGTAAAAGAAAATTATATAACGTTTAAACTATTTTTTTGTTTGCCATAAGATAAACAATGAAATTGTAATAATAAAAGATACCATGATCATTCTTATCTCATGTCAAAGTATTTTAAAATTAACCGCATTGAAGACTTTTTATATATTCGATTTGCTATGATAGCTTGCTAATGGATAAATTTGACGTGGTATAATAAAATTTTACTCTAGAATCTGCATTTCATTCAAAATACAACATACTGCATGGTGTCTCTATTTGCACAGATGTCCATAAAACTGTATTTTGATTTAAAAAGTTACTTGTTATTGAGCTATCTTCTCTGTGTACCAGAGAAGGTACACCTACCTTTCCTTTGCTGATCTATTTGAAGCTTTTAACTATGTAGGAAATAAGATACCAGCACTTAATAATGCAATGTCCTTCTCTTATATAATAAATACTAGAAGAGTGGACTGGTATAGATTTTCAGTACCAGGAGAGGAATTAAGTTTTTTATGGATTGAGGTAGCCCGTGGATGCTTCTCAGGGAAAGGTAGAACTTTGGAAAGATAGTTAAGAAAGGATTTAGGTAACTTTATAGGAAGGCTTAGAGGTTTATACGAAGTTGTAGAAAAGAGACAGTGATAAGAGAAAAAACATAGGCAAGAAAGTAGAAGATGAGTTAGAGAGACATGAGGAGATGAGGCTGGATAAAAGGACTCATGATGTGATGATGTGTAATAGGTAGGTAAAGCCAGAGGTCCTTAAATATGAAGTTGGGGCATTATGGCTTTCTTTTTTTGGTAAGCTGCTGAAGGATTCAGATCCAAGTATGTACAATGGCCAGAACACTGATTTAACAGCGTCACAGACATGTAATAGCCAACTCTAAAGTGGTGATGGGTTCAGGGAAGAAAATTTTTCAGGAACAAAACATGAAGCCCACCCTACAATGGATTCTGAAAAAAAGAGTGAGGGAAAGGAGTTGTGTTTTTTCTATCTTTGGCAACAATACAAGGTTGAATGGAAGTTTCTGAGGGATTACATTTAGCACAGTCCAGTGGATATCAATAGTACACAGATGACTCAGTAAAGTATTGGATAAAATACAGGTCCAAGTTTTTAATTCAGTAAACATTCTTAAAAAATACAGTATGTTTATACTATAGAAAAAATGTGAATTCTACAGTGATTAAAGGCTTCCCTTTTCACTTTGTAATAATTAAATACCATCCCCCAAAGCCACCATATTATTTAAGGAAGGAGGAGCCAAAAGACAGTTACAGACTTTTTTGTTCTTTTTCATCCTGTGTTTTTTTCAAAGAGACGAAAATGAAATATTTATTCATCTCTCTTTTCTATCCTGAGCTATTTCCTATAGAAGTGGTCTCCAAAATATGGGGTACTTGACTCTGAAAGTGCACACTCACAAAAAACAAAGCTTTCATTTATAATGTTTAGCTTAGATACCTGAGCTTAAGCTAATTTACTAATTTTTGATAGGAGTGCAAGTGTATAATTGATAGCATAAACATTTAAGAAAGTGCACACTAACTGTAGAAGGTATATCAAAAAGTATGCCAAAGGTGCAGTAGGGTGGGAAATGTTAAATGAATTATTAGGGCTGTCCTTTAGGAATTTTGATTTAGTAAGTTTGAATAGGGGCCTGGGAACCTGTTTTTTAATAAGACCTTCAAGTGTTTATTTCCAGCCAAGTTTAGGAAATTAGCAGTAGACTTGTTTCACCCTGTCTTGATTTAGGCCTCAATCCATTTCTAGATGCCACAGTGCTAATCGCTGTGGTGCCTCACCTACCCTCAGGCAGCTAGAAAGATGGGGTTGTCCAAGAACTCATCAGGGGAGCTAAAGCTTGCCAGTGATTCAGGGGCTTGCATCCAGCTCACCTTATTTCTTGTGCTTTGACTGGATCAAAAGCCAGCTTATTGTAGTGGAATTTTAAGGACAGCAGTATGTGTATTTAGAGTAATTTAGGAGTTTGTTTTACCCTGAGGTTTGAAATTGATGATTGTTTTTAACCATGAAGCTGTTGCCACAGATTGTTGCTGTGTTCCATGTGTTAATAAAAAGTCATGGCTGATGAAAAACTTTATACCTTAGTTTTATGAACGCTATTTTCATGATGACACACGGAAACATAGAAATTCTATGTAAAGGCTTCAGTGTCCTAAAATAAATATTCATGTTAAATGTTAAAAAAAATACTTGAAGAAACAATAATATTAAGTGTTTACTATGTGCTAGGTCCTGTACCAAGAACTCTTTTCAACATTGTGTATTATTTAATCCTCACAACAATCCTATGAAGGTGTTTTTAGTATCCGTTTTGTAGATGAGTTAACTGAAGGAGCACAGAGAGGTGAAGTAACTTGCCCATTGTTTGTAGGATTTTTGTTTGCTTGGTTGCAGGTTTTAATTTGGGAATGTCCTAAATAACATTTAGAAGATACTTAGTTTCATGTTTTGAATTAATGATCCTTTGGACTTCTTTGACTGATTTCTTGATCTTGAAACTTGATTTCTTCTACTGCTTTGTTCTCTTATAAAACAAAATCTCTAGTGTGTTTTAACAAGGAATGAAAACTGGCATATAGATATCACTTTGGAATGTTCAAATGATGAAAGTTCATGACAATTTAATAAAAGCAAAGTGTTTATTGCAACATGGAATATATAGTCTGATTATTTATCTGATAAGTAAGATTTGTGAATATACTATTTTATCCTGAAGCTTTGCTTTATAACTGTTACTAGTTTTTAATATCTGAGGGATTTGAGCTCAGAAAGAAATTCGGGGCAATTATGTTATAATTGATGTGCATTTTATTCAAATTTTTAACATTTCCAATTTCAATATCTTTTTTTTTCTTAAGCCTTTAAGCTCAGTTTGCACTTAAAACAATAAATGTATTCATATCTTCACTAGGCCTTCACGTAATTTTTATAAATTACCAAATTAAGTACCCTGAAACTTTTTAAAACCAACACTGAAGAATGTAACAATTCAAAAAAGTATAAACAATTAAATCTTGTAAATTTATATCTAATAAATCAAATTTATAAATTTAGTAAACCAAGTTGTCCTAAATTAAATATTATTTACAAACTTAGCTTGTTATATAATTAATATTATAATCACAAATCTAAGATAGCACATTCTCTAAACACATTTCAAATATCTTTAAAAAATATATCAGAAAATGTAAATTATCAGTTAACGCCCAACTTATGAATACATCTTTATCTTAAACTTAATGCAAAATCTTCACAATATAGGCTGGATTCATTCCTTTAGCTTGTCATTTCTTCATTCTCAAACTATAAATCTACTTATAGAACAAAGTGGAAGAGAATTTCCATCTTCTAGCCTTCTATCACAACTAAGATTATATATACATTTGGGAGCAGGGCAGGGGATCTGTGTCTATGTGTCAGCCAGAGTCTATGCTGGACAGGGGCTCATTAAGCCATATATTATCAGGCTCTTACCTGCCATTGTTAATAATTACTATGAGGCCTCACATAAATTTAACTGAATGTTTTAATTTTTATATTTTTGCAACCTGGTTCTTTTCCTAGAAATGATGCATCCCTAAGTTTTTCCCTTAGGTTACACTTCATCCCTATTTATAATGGGATTTTCTAAGTCCAGTTATGTACAAACTGTGTAACCTTTGGCCTTAGAGCCTATTTGTCTACTATTGGGATTTTGACACCCTAGTTAGGTTACTATAGCAACTCTTTCTCTTTTATAATTTGGTAACTGCCTCATTGACCATCAGTCATTTTATTGACAATGATGATCAAGTTTAGTTTTTAACCCCTTTAAATTCACAAAGCCAAAATGATTTTTCTCTCCTAGGAATGCCAGAATCACCTCCGCAGATATGGAAATGTGAATCTGGAACTGGTGACTCGAATCATTAGAGATGGTGGCCCATGGGAAGATCCAGTGTTGCAAGCTGTTCTTAAAGCCCAGCCAGCATCTCAGGAGATAGGTACTTCAGGAGACTCAAATCAAAACTAACATTTGTGAGAAGCAAATAGAGTTTCATTTTTAACTAGAGCAGTAATAGTAATTTTTCTTTATTTTGTAATATTGAATAAGAGTAATGTATTTTCATATAAAAGTGTGTTTAAGTTATTTATTATACTAATCTGGCCCAAGAACAATTTTTGACACTAGATTAGGTACATTTATTCCAGTGGGAATTAAGAGTATTAACACATTTACTATATAGATGTTACTTTCTTACAGAGTTTGCTTTTGTCACTTCAGTTACATTTTAAAAATCTAAGTAGGAACATCTTTTTTTAAAAAAAAAATAAACATCCTTCTTAAGCACATGGAATTTCTCTATATAGGAAACTGTGAGGCCTGGAATTCTTTCAATTTTTGTCACCATTACTACATATCCTACACCTGGCCCAATGCCTGATACAGAGTTAAGGTGCTCAATATAAGTATTTGCTGATTGAATGAATGACCACATGATGAATGCTTAAGTGAATGAGTGACTAATTGAATGACTATAGAAGTATCAATTCCAAATATTGTATGTAGAGCAGTGTTTCCCAAACATCATCCATTAGTATAAGATTTATCTCATCCCCTTAACCACCTGTAAACTTCATTGACATTACCTTCTCCCAAACCTAGATCCACAATGGTTCCTGTAGGCCAGAATTCCCATTTGAGGCAGGAGGCCCTGTCAACTACTTCTAGTTAATTCTTTTTGAAAAAAGAAAAAAAAATTGCCTTATTATTCCTGAGCCCTAGAAGATTTTGGATCACCAAAACTTAGAATTTAAGCTCAGTGGTAGAGAGTAAGTGTCCACGTTTGGAAAACATTTGAAAGCACGGAGAGAGCCTAAGATGGCCAAAGGGAAGAGAAGACCTCCCAACTCTGGTACCATTCAGACCTTGGTGTAGTGAGAAAGACACTTCAAACAGATTTTACTGAGGTTAGGATCTTTTGATTTGTCCCAGGTTAAGGAGTAGGGGTGGGTTGTGAGTACAGGTAAGGGGCTATGCTAATCAGGCCTAAGAGCAAGCCCGATCCCAGATACAAGTGTGGAGGACTGTAATAGTTTTGAGAGGTGAAGAAAGAGATAAGACCAGGAAAGTGTGCAAAGTGGTGGAATGAGACAGGGAATAGGATAAGACGAGGGAGAATGAGCTAAGGTATATGTGATAGTGTATAGTGATATATACTCCAGGGTACAGAGGAGACTGGCACTTGATGGGAGGGTTTCAGAAAGGAAAAAAAAAATTGAAGAGGGAAGCAGTTGGAACTGACGAATAAAAGTTGGTTATTGAAGAAAAGTATGAAGAGTCAAATATAGGGAAGGTAAGGGTAACAGATTGAAGGAAACTCTAAGGAGACTGGGTGTTGTGGCCAGAGGGGATAAGAGCTAGACAAAGCCATACCTTCAAAGAGTGAGAACAGGGAAGAAGAAAGTTTGGGCTTTTAGGGGAGTTTTTATGCTTCTGAATGGGAGCTAGAAAAACCTGTTGGTTTGGTGCAGGGCGGATGGCTTATTTAGATAGATAGATAAATAGCTAATGGCTTATTTATATAGATAGAGAGGGAGAGAGTCCTTTCATACTTACACTAGCATACCTCACTTTGGGAAAAGCTGCTTTAGAGACTCAGTAATATGGATGACTTTCCTTTAGTTGGTGATTATTAGGGTATAGGCCAGTCTGAAGTTTATCTTTGTACTAACTACACAAATCCGTGTCTGCTTATTATATTTTGTAAACAATTACAAGGCAAATATCGAAGCCCAAATCAAACACTACTTATAGGCATTGAAGCTACTGATTAAACATATACAACTAATTAAAACACTTTTCGATTAGAAATAATGAAATAGGAGTTCTCGTTCCTGCTCTGCCACTTAGTGATTCTGTGTCCTTGGGCAAGTCATTTGACCTCTCTGAGACTCAGTTTTGTGATCTGTAAAACAAGTATTATGATACTGGTCATAAGGTTGTTGTTAGGTCTAAATAAACTTATATAGATAAAAGTGTTTAATATTTTTTTAAATTATATAAAAGCAAGTATTAACTAGTAATTATCCTTAGTGACATGACCATATGTTAATAAGAAGTCCTATTTGGGACTTCTTTTGGCTTAGTTTTTTGTTGAAAACCAGTAAGATATATTTCTTATATAATTTAGCCTTTTCATTAATTCAGATTATATTTCTCTATAATTAATCTGAATATGATTTTAATGATTCAGCCTTTTAATCTTAAAATAAGGAAAATATTGGGCAGTAAGGAGATAAAGTACATATTTAGACTAGAAAGCAATTCCAGACTTCATGTTATTTGAAACATTTTTATATACTAGTGAACTAAAATAAGACTATTTCATGTTTTTTTCTTTAAAAAATTTTATTTTTTTACTTTTCAGACAGAAGAAATCAACAGATGTTTCTTGAGCACTGTTTTGGTGTTACTCTTATTTCCATTTTTCCAGTCATATAATTGAGTATTCTTTTGACAAACAAACTGTTGAAGAAAATGTCTAATTAAATAACTAGTTAATCTAATTATATAACATTAGTGGTAATGTTTCCACCAACAAAGTTTGAATCTTTTGAATATAATGAGTCTGTTTTCCTTTTAATATAGTGAACAAATACTTAAGTTCTGAAAATCCACTGTTCTTTGAACTGCGTGCCAGATACCTAATTGCTTGTGAACGCATACCTGAAGCAATGGCTCTCATTAAATCTTGTATAAATCACCCCAAAATCAGTAAAGACTTGTACTTCCATCAAGCACTCTTCACCTGTCTGTTTATGTCACCTGTAGAAGATCAGCTATTCCAGGAGGTACTGTCTGAGATGACGTTTGCCTTTTACCATTTTAACCTTACAATTAAAGAAAAAAAAAGTAGCCTGTTCTTGTTAAATTGCTTTTATATTAATACCAAAGGTTTCAAGAATACATTATTTAGATGTGTTCTCTTTGGTGCCATTCTGTAAGCTCATGTTGACTTAGACAGAATCTGATGTTAACAAATGATGAAATTAACAGAGTTCATTAATAAGCATTATCCATGTTGAGCTTCTGGTGTGACAGAGGAGATCAAATAAAAACCGGGAAATATTACAGTTTCGCCTTTTACCTAAAATATGAAGAAATTAAAAGAAAATATTTTCCTAAGGTGGACTCTAGTTACCAGAAGTTGAGGACCTTAAAGAGATAAAAAGTAGAAACTATGAAACCATGAAAATATTTCTGTATGATTCATTATGTATGTAGAAGAAAACTAGAATCTACTTCTGAATGTTTGAACAATTATTGCCACTTTTCACTTATTTTTAATGATATAAAACTGATTTTTCCTCTTACAGCAATTACTGAAAACTGACTGTAAGAATGGAATTGATATCATCTGTAACACTGAAAAAGAAGGCAAGACTATGTTAGCCTTGCAACTCTGTGAATCCTTTCTTATTTCACAGCTCCAGAGTGGTGCTATGTACTATATCTGGTAAGTGTTCCTAATACAGAAATTAAAATGGTAAGATGGGAAACAGAAGGAAAATTGGTTAGTGGAGTTTGGACTTCATATGTATCTCTTTTTTAAAGTTATGTGAAAATATTAAGCCACTTTATCATGCAAGAAATAATAGTAGGTTGTAAGACCTAAATATTAAAAAGGACAGTAATCATGTACCAGTAATTGACAGTGTAAATGTTTAAGGTATGAGTTACAATGAAAGTTATGTTTTAAATTAAATTTGAAGTGTTAATTTTTTAAGACTTTATTTTTTTTGAGTAGTTTCAGGTTTACAATCAAATTGAGAGGTATATACAGACATTTTCCGTTTACCCAGGCTCCAGGTTATCAACATCTCTTACCAGAATAGTTCAGTTTTTTACCAAGGATGAACCTACATATCATAATCACTGTAAGTGTACAGTTTACCTTAGGGTTCACTCTTGGTGTCATATATTCTACGAATATGGACAAATGGATAATGGAGTACATCAGTATAATATCAAGAATATTTTCAAAACCCCCAAAATCCTCTGTGCTTTGCCTGTTTATCTCTCCCCACTACCTCCACCTCTGGAAACCACTGATCTTTTTAATATCTTCACAGTTTTGCTTTTCCAGAATATCATAAAGTTGGAATTATACAGCGTAGCCTTTTCAGTTTGGCTTCTTTCACTTACTAATTTTCACTTAAAAGTTTCTCCATGTCTTTTCATGGCTTGATAGCTCATTTCTTTTAGCGCTGAATAATATCTCATTGTCTGGGTTTACTACAGTTTATTTATCCATTCACCTACTGAAAGACATCTGGTTGTTTCCAAGTTTTGACAGTCACATGAATAAAGGTGCTATAAATATGTGTGTGCAGGTTTTTGTGTAGACATACGTTTTCAATTCCTTTGGGTAAATACCAAGGAGTGTGATTGCTGGACTGTATGCTAAGAGTATGATTAGTTTTGTAAGAAACTATCAAACTGTCTTTCAAAGTAGCTGGACCATTCTGTATTCCAGCAGCAATGCATGAGAATTCCTGTTTCTCATCCTCACCAGCATTTATTGTCAGTTTTCCAGACTGGTCATCCTACTAGGTGTGTAGTGGTATCTCCTTGTTGTTTTAATTTGCATTTTCCTGATGAGATACAATGTAAAGCATCTTTTCATGTGCTTAGTTGCTATCTGTGGATCTTCTTTGGTGAGGTGTCTGTCAAGGTTTTTGGCCCATATTTTATTGTTTTTTTTTTTTTTCTCATTGAGTTTTAAGTTTGTTGTATATTGTGGAAAATCCTTTATCAGATACGTCTTATACAAATATTTTCTCCTAGTGGCTTATGTTTTAATTCTCTTGATACTGTTTTTCACAGAGGAGAGGTTTAAACTTGAATGAAGCTCAGCTGATCAGTTCTTTCTTTCACGGATTATGTCTTTGGTGTTGTATCTAAAAATGTATCATCATACCTAAGGTCACCCTAGGTGTTCTCTTAAGTTAGTTTATAAGAGTTTTGTAGTTTTGCATTTTATGTTTAGATCTGTGATTCATTTTGAATTAATTTTTGTGAAGGGTATAAAAGTCTGTCTAGATTCATGTTTTTCATGTGGATTTCCAGTTGTTTCAGCACCATTTGTTGAAAAACACTATTTTTGCTGTATGTGTTGCCTTTACTCCTTCATCAAAGATCAGTTGACTGTATTTATATGGCCCTATTTCTGGGCTCTCTATTCTGTTTCATGGCTCTATTTATTCTTCCCCCAGTACAACACTGTTCTGATCACTTTAGCTTTATAGTAAGTCTTGAAGTTGGGTAGTGTAAGTCCTCCAACTTTGTTCTTCTTCAACACTGTATTGGCCATTCTGGGTCTTTTGCCTCTCCATATAAACTCTAGAATCAGTTTGTCAATATCCATAAAATAATCAGCTGAGATTTCACTGAATCTACAGATTCAAGTTTGGAAGAACAGACATTTTGACCATAGTGATTCTATTTAGGAACACACATTATCTCGCCATTTATTTAGTTCTTTGATTTCGTTCATCAGAGTTTTTCAGTTTTCCTCATGTAGAACTTGTACATACATATTTTGCTATATCTATACCTAATTATTTCATTTTTGGGGCACTAATATAAATGATATTGTGTAGTATTAGCTTTTTATAATATTTAAAAAGCTACTTAAAAGTTATTGGTCAGATATATGAAACATCAAGTCTACCTAGCAATCGTGAATCATGCAATTTACAATGCGATATGAGAGTGTTTTTAGTACATCATACCCTCCAAATGCTATTAGGTGAAATTATGAATACACATACACATGAATACACAGTACACACAGAGACAACCCTACCACTTTGACATTTCATTAATTCTTAAGGGAAAATTAAATTTTATTTGCTTAACATAATGATCTGCAATGACATGGACCATAAACATTTTAAAATCAATGCTTTTGAATTTTAAATTCTTATATATTTAAAACAATAGCTGGAAAGGGGATTTAAAGATAAACTCATTTAATAGTCTTGTTTTATAGATTAAAATCTTCAGACTCAAAGAGTCAAACAGCTAATGAGTATTAATCAAATAGAGATGAGTCTAAAAATTAGGGAACTTATCTTCTGAGGGAGTATACTTCTAGTTAGATTATGTCAATTTTTATTCAAATATTTACTATGTAAATTGGAATTTTAAATAGAGGTGAGGGGATTAGGAGGCAGTGGTAAGACATACACTTTTAAATACTTCACAAAGTATTAGTCATTTCCTGATACTTAGTTATTTTGAAATGGAATATAAACATCACTGTTATAGTAGATGTTTTCCTATGGAGATAGGAATGTTCTCTGTCCTTGGCTGTATTAAACTATTTAAACAGGATATCTTTAGTTTTTTCATTTTAATATACTCACAAATAAATTGCAGTCACATATAAACAAAACAAGAAGACTAGAAAAACATTTTTTCTTCTCTTGGTTAACCAATTTCTACTTTTTATGGAGGTACCCTACAAATAGAAAATAGAATAATGCCTATCTTTTGTGCTTCTGGCACTGTCACCTGCCAAGAATAGAAATTGGGTATACAACTTCCAACTGCCTTATTGGAAAGGAATCTTTAGCCTGCTTCTTTGTCTTTCTTTCTAGTAGGCTGAATTCTGATTGCTTGCCCTCTTACTTTTTCTGCCCCTCCTCCCTATTTCTGAACAAGTTGATTTTCATTGCAACTTGAAAAGCAGGATTCTTTCCAGCCAACAAGGCCTGTGTTGTCTTTTCATCATGGCCTTCCCTACTAACCAGCTTACACTTCATCTCTCAATCTGTGGATAGAACCTCATTCACAGTGCAGTTTTACTCTCTCAAACCAGTATAGCAAGCTACTAACAACCCCATTTCTCTGACCATCACTAATAAAAGTAATAATAATCACAGCTGCTAATACTTGCTGAGTGCTTCCTATAATGTGTGCTTTATATATGGATTTTTTCATTTATTCTAACAATCTTATGGAGCAGATATTACAGCCAAGTCATTCAGCTAGTCAATAATGAGGTCAGGATTCAAATCCAGGCAGCCTGATTCACAGCCTCTACTATTAAACATTACTTACTATAAATGCATCAAGTATGAAAAAAAAAATCTGTGTTGTAAGGGTGGCTGTAGACCCTGTCATAGACTATTCTCTTCAACTAGATAACTTGATTGCATTAGTAGTTAGCTACCTGGCAGATGTGTGTGCACCAAATTGGTGCTGTGTTTTCTAAAGGACCCTGATTGAAAATAAAATGTAAGTTTCACTAAACTTTTCTTTGGGTCTTCACGAAGTCAAATGTCAGTGGTTTTCAGGGTGTTTTGATTTTTGTTTTTGTTTTGTTTTCCTTCAAAGTCCAGTGTACAAGTAAAACTTGAGACCCCTATATGGATTCAATAAAAATGGAGTTTCATAACCATATCCTGAGACTTATGTGTTGCCTTTTAGAAAGCTAAAATCCATATTGGTAGCTTTCTCCTGGCACATTATTAGGATCTTGGGATTATATACTGTTTGACAGGTTTCCTCCTGAGTTAATAAAGACAGAAAAGATCTCTCTTTAAGGAAGTAAAAAGATAATATTAATACTGAAGAATGTCTGTAAGAAGTCTCAAGTTGTTTTGGGAACAGAGAATAAATATATACATTTCTAATATGTCAGACATTCATTTCTGTAATATTGAATGGAATTACAGTACCATTGAATTCAACTATAATACTGAGTAAAAATCTGTTGGAGAGATACACCATGAACTGTTTGAATTCTTCCATAGCTCTTGGTTCATAACATACCCCTTATTTAGAAAGTCCACCATCATCTTTCACCTCATTCCATGTTTACAATTTCCCTTAATGTATTTCCTGAAGAGGTTTCCTCTAAATGGTGAAAGCATTTAGGAGTATAATTTTTTACCAGATTGTTAATAAATATTTATTGAAAAACTATAACTGCTTGGTACTGTGAAGACTGGTAAGGACAGAATATAGGAAACTAGGAATTTATTAAATATCAGTATGTGATAGACATTTCACTTGGGCATTCTTATTTATCTATCAGTGCTTCCACTTTAAGCTATGTAATTTTACATACGTACTTCTACCAGGGTGGCTAAATTCATGTTCCCCAGATCATTTCATTCAGTGCTTATTCAATATGCCATGTAATATTAGTAACAACAGAAACATGCGTTTCAGAGTCAGAAGGATCAGGATTTGAATCTGGGTACTCTTCTAGGTTTGTCTCCTCACCACTGGTTACTCTTCTCCATTTAGTCTGTCTTTTCTTTATGCTGATAATTCTACTTGGAAAATACTTTTTCATTTACAAAATAAGTTTAATTTATCTTTCAAAGTCTGTATCAAGTGCCTCTTCTTGTGAAAGCCTTCATGAATACTATAAACTAAGGTAATAACTAAAGGGCAGGAATATATAGTAGGTTTTCAAAGATAACTGCTGCCAGGGACACTGAGATTGCTAGGGTTTTTTTAAGTTTGTTTCTTCTTCCAGTTAGTTTCAGTCTTCCTGGTGCAGACCAGAAGGAATGCCAACTATTCCTCAGCTTCATAGTTTAGAGTGGAGAACATTCTAGGGACTCTGATTAGCCTGAAAGGGGTCAGTTTTCTACTCCTGAATTAAAATCTAAAGGGTGAAGAGGGTCACATAGGAGATATGGCCATTGGGGTTCTGAACCTGTGTTTAGGACTATTCCCAGAAAAATGGATGCCTGTGAACGGGGTAGTACTATACCAGTTAGTGTATAATGCCCCATTGAGATTTAGGTCTATCTTATTCCCATTTTTACGTTCTTGGCACTCTCTCCACTATAAAATGTGTCACTGAGATTTACTATGTATTAATAGTTGGGGAAACAGAACCTATAAAATATTAGCAAGGAAGTATATCGAAGGCATTCAATCATTAAAAAGAGTAAGATCTATTCTGAAGTAGTTATCACTTTAGGATTCAAATCCTGATTCTTCTGACTCTAAAACCCATGTTTCTGTTGCTATTAATGTTATGTAGCATGTACAATAAGCATTGAATGAAATGATCCCATACGCTGGAAACAGATCTAAGTTTAGCCACCCTGGCAGAAGTACATATGTAAAATTAAATGGCGTACAGTGGTAGCATTGAGAAAGAATGAGAAAAAATACAATCAAAATATAAGGCTGGGGAAAATAAATAGGTCAGAATCAAATAGGTAGAGAAATCTTTAGTGTCATTAACTGATTGGAAAAGATAGTCAATTTTGCAGGAATATCCTTTGTTTTAAGTGGGTTAGGGTGATAGAAAACAATCTGAATCAAAATACCAGGCACGGAAATTGGGAATATGTGAACCTGGTGAGCTTTATAAAGGAGTATGTGTGCAAAAACAGCAGGTGATGGACTGAAACTTCCGAACACCCACAAAGCAAGTACAAAATGGAGGTGGAATTTTGGGTTTACTTGGATGTTGCTTGCTGTCATTTTGTTTGCATTGTCTGTATTGTGTGCCTAAGTGGACTAAATAAGCTTACTCTCACCATAGTAGTCAAGCTGTCCTTAGATTTAACTAGGTGTATGTGCTGGGCTCAAAGTACATATTCAGCAAATCACTTAAAAAATCTTTTTTTCATCAATACTTTTAAAATGATGATATTTTATGTAGCTTTTATGATACAATTTAAAGAATTCTACTTTGCTAGAATGTGATATCCAAATATATCAATTATATCTAGTGATTTTCTTTGCCTCAAAACCCAGTGCTCTTCCCTTGTTCATCTAGTAACCCTGTCCACATTTTAGAAAAGAACCTACCTGTGAAATACTATAGTTTTCTATAGTATTTAAGTATGTAAAAGTATACTTTTGTTTAAAAGTACTACATTTTTTTAATGGAAGAGAAGATCTAAAATATAAAATTTCAGAATAGTCTTACATTGTTAATCTGTAGTACTTTTGGTTATTTTAATAGATTGAAAATTGAAAATATGAACCATTTCATCTTTGCAGAAAGTTTATATTTATTTCTAAATTTATAAGTAGGGCATTAATTAAAAGCCAAAGTTTATTTCTTTAAAGTAATATCATTAATAATGGTATACTGGGTTAGAATTTGTTTTCATCAAGTACTAGAGATGCCTTAGGTTTGTCAGCAGGATTGGAATTCATCCCATACCACTGCAAAATGAAAATTTCTGATGTGCTTCCCCCAGCTTCTATTAGTCACATATAGGTAGCAGAAATAACTTGAGAGTTAACATAATAATACATTTACACTCACTTTGTATACATCCTAGCCATAGCATAGATAGAATTAGCAAAAGATATATATGTCTGTGTGTGTGTGTGTGTTTGAATAAACTGTATCTTTGACTTTTTTTTCTCATTTACAGGGAGTTGATTTTCATATGGAGTAAACTTCAGCTTAAGTCTAATCCTTCAAAACAAGTTTTTGTAGATCAATGCTACCAGCTTTTAAGAACAGCAACTAATGTGAGAGTCATATTTCCTTTCATGAAAATCATTAAAGATGAGGTAATTAGGATATATTTATCCCTTCATTTTAAACAAAATTTAAATGAAGTTCACTGAAACTTGAATCTCTTATGATAAAATTTATTTGATTATAAAATTGAAGAGAAGGAGGATTTTAAGGCCACATTCTCCATATCTTACTTCCTCCCCTTTCCCCATCTTCAAATTCCAACATGGTGCAAAGAGCATATATACATATATGAAATAACTGAAAAATGAGAAAAAAATGCCAGTATAGTGTTACTTAAGATTTAATATGGGAATAATACCTTCCATAGGGAGCTGTTAGCTCTTATTTTTATAAGGAGAGTTGACAAACTTTTAACACTATCCTAAGTCCTGTTTTTAGAATCTTAACTAATTTGAAAGTGAATTTTTGCATATCTATAGGTAATAGCTGTTCATTGTCATAGAGCAATATAGTTCATAGTTTTAAGTCTGGTATTTAGGTGAAAAGGAACAACGAATTCTGAGCCATTTTTGGAACTTACGGACAAATTTTTAAAGTGTTCATTTGAAGTAAAAAAGAAAACTCCATTACCTGTTTTTAAAAATAGTTCTAAAGCAAGTTTTTCATGGGCCACTTGCAAGTGAGTACAATTCTACATATGACTGTTAGAGACATGAAAGTGGATCCTGCCGATCCTTTTAACTCTTCCTTTCAAATATTAACAGAACTTTGAACACAGAGATAGGAAAGGTAAAGCAATCTATATTTTAGGTAGCTCCACTTAACTGAATCTTTATATGGGTTACTTTTAAATATATAAAGAGGCATCCATTAAATAATATATTTTAATTTTTCTTATTTATTTATGCATATGTCACATTATCATGTCACTCATTAGATGTAGTGATCATATTCCCATGATACAAAGTTGGTAGCACTGTATCAGACGGTTTTTCTTTTAACTTCCTACTTATTTTGCTGACTGCATTAATACTTCATTTTTAAATAATGAAATGTCATTCCACTGCATTGTCAGAATTAACCTCTCCCCCCACCAAAAAAGGGAAAGAAAACAAACTATGTTATAGAATACTTTTCAATAGTTGAAATGTATCAGAATCCCTTATAAACCATTTTTAAAAAATAAAGAGGTGCCATGTATGTTTTTATTACACATGATTCTCATTTGCACCAAAAATTGAGAGGCTGTTAACAGGAAGTTTACAATACAGATGAAGTTCAGCCAGTTAATCATAGAGGTGCCATATATGTTTTTTTTACACATGATTCTCATTTGCACCAAAAATTGAGAGGCTGTTACAGGAAGTTTACAATACAGATGAAGTTCAGCCAGTTAAACATAGAGCCTTTTTTCTTTTCACAATTCTGATTCTGATCAAAGAATACATTATAAGAGGAAAAATTCAAAGATGAAATAAATGTGGAACATGTGCTTTTAATTGTTTACACTCACACTAAAAACGTTTTCATTTGATTGAATAGATTATTCATGTGCCTCAGTGCTGGGAAAAGAAGCACAGAGAATGCTGTGTGAGTTCAAAATAAGACATTACCAATGACATATCTGAAAAGGCTTCACAGAGGAAGATGCTTTAAGCTGGACTTTGCATTAATAGTAACATTTATGGAGGATTTTGTACTTAACAGCACTTTTTTGTCTTGTTTCTCAACAACTGTCTAGTGGCATTAATAGGGCAGAGGAAGGTGAGGAAGTGTGTGGGAGACGAAAGTAATGGGAGAGACTGCAGGAAGTTGAGGTGAGGAAGGTTTGCTCAAGATCCTAAAAGGACTTAAATGCTACACTAAAAGTTGGAACTTCAGTCCATAAATATACTGGAATCGTTAAGGATGTCAGATAAGGAAGTAGTCTGTTCTCTTTTGTGATGGTCCGGAAATTTTTTAACTTGAGCAACTGACTACATTATAATTTCATCCTTTCAAGATAGAGGATGTAGACAGAACTTTGGAGAAACAGAAGGAATTGTTTTGAAGCAGTGCATTTTGAAGTTGCCATGCCTAGAAAATCTAGATGGGAATATCCAGTTATAACAGACAAACTAGAAAGAAAGGATACCAAGCTGGAAGTGAGAGACTTATAGGAAAAAACTAAAGTCAGTGGAATAGATCTGATCTCATTCATTCTGCAAACATTTATTCAAACAATTGCTATATGCCAACTTCTGTGCTAACCACAGGAGGATACAAAAAAATGAGATAATGTCCCTATGATACAGGAATTCAAAGTTACAGGGTAGAGGCATAGTCATACACAGATAATCATAACACAGTATGTACATGCTTTTTGGAAATAAGTATAATTATTCTCAAGGGGAAAGAATAGTGCTTAACTCTAATACAGAACAGGGGTCAAAATGAATGGGGAGAAAACCCTTCAGAGTAGAACTGATGCTCAAAGAATGAATAGGAGATGGGTAGAACTTTATCAGCTAGACAAAGTAGGATTATGATGTACAAAGTTAAGGTCTACTTGAGTTCTGCAAGTTAATAGTTCAGTAGGGTTATATAACAGGTAGGGGACTAGGAGAAGATGAGGCTGGCAAGGTAGTGTTTCTCTCTGTCAGCTATAATATGCCATCTATAGGCAGTCTGATGTATATATACACACACATGCACACAGTTTTAAAGAATTATTATTGTATCATTTTCTCTTCAAACTAGCATTTAGATCATTCCAAATCACTAGAAGTATTATTTATTACTTGAATTAAGGTGTGTGGATAACAAATTCCCAAGTAAAAGCTGATAGTTATTTCTGAGTCATCATCAGAAGTTTTAAAGCTTGAGTAATTTTCAGGTATTTTCTGTTAGGCTCATTATTCTCATACCTTGTTAGATTTGTAAAGACTGCAACTGCCCTCTTCATGGGGGTCACAGTTTTCTCTTTATTTGGATAAAATTACTTTTAGTAAGTAAAATAAGTAATATTATCAGCTTTATGAAAGTTTCTATAAGCAGTTTTTTTAATCTAGTTATTTTTCAACATCAAAAGTTGATGTTTTAAATACATATAATTTAATCCTTATGCCACAGAATGAGATAGGTACCCAAAATAATAAATGGGGGCCCAGATTTGTAAGAAACTTTTATCACCATAAATTTATGAAGAATTTTGTATTTATCCATCATTAGGTTATGAAGCATTTTGTATAATGGTTAGTAGGACTTGTCAAACTTGAAAATTAAACTGGGAGCTAAAATGCTATCTTTTACAAGTTATTACTCTCAAATAAAAAGATTTATTTATATATATTTTTAAAAGTTAAACAAGGCTACCCATTAAGGAAAACTGTACATGAAGAATATGTGTTTATTCAGCTTTTATTTTAGAGTTGTATTTTAAAAAGTAGTTAGTGTAGTAATTATTTTAAAGATATTTAGTAGTAACATTTTTCTTTTTACAGGTTGAAGAAGAAGGCTTACAAATTTGTGTTGAAATTTGTGGTTGTGCTCTACAACTAGACCTTCATGATGATCCCAAGACTAAATGTTTAATTTATAAAACAATTGCACACTTTTTGCCAAATGATTTAGAGATCCTCAGGATTTGCGCACTGTCAATATTTTTTCTTGAGCGCTCCTTGGAAGCTTATCATACTGTTGAAAAGCTTTACAAACGTCCAGATGAAGAATATAATGAAGGCATAAGTAGTGTTCAAAATCGTGTTCGTTTTGAATTACTTCCAATTTTGAAAAAGGGATTGTTTTTTGATCCTGAATTCTGGAACTTCGTAATGATTAAGAAAAACTGTGTAGCATTACTGAGTGATAAATCAGCAATTAGATTTCTAAATGAAAGTACACTGGAAAATTGTGCAGGTAATCTAAAAAAAGCAGTAGAACACCAAGGTATAGATGAAGGGCTTGATTCTCTTACAGATCAGAGCACTGGAGAGCTTGATCCAGATGATATATCTGGAGTGCAACCTAAAGGTCATATTAATACAAAGAAAAACCTTACGGCTCTTAATACTTCCAAAGTAGATCACAGTGTCCCAAGGCATCGGTGTATGTTATGTAACAAGGAATTCCTAGGGGGTCACATTGTAAGGCATGCCCAGGCTCATCAGAAAAAGGGCAGTTTTTCATGTGTAATATGTGGTAGAAAATTTAGAAACAGAGGACTTATGCAGAAGCATTTAAAGAATCATGTTAAGAAAATACAGAGACAGCAGATTGCTGCAGCTCAACAGGAGGATCAGGAAATCCCTGCTTTGGAAGAAATAAATTGTTCTGATACTTTAATTTCATTTGAAAATGGGAATTCTGATAATAAAGATTTGGAAGTAGAGACTGTTACTGCTTCCAGCCCTTCGCATGTGGCTGAAATCATTAAAAGTCCCATAACCATATCAGAAGATGTTACTGAAAACATCATTGAAAATGGCAGTCCTGATACTTCTTTAAATAATATCTCAAATGTTGTGGAGCCTTTACCTGTATGTGGTGATTATGAGGAGGAAGAGGATGAAGAAGGTGATTATGAAGAAGATGATTATGACCTGAATCAGGAAACTTCAGTACTTCATAAAATCAATGGAACTGTGTGCCATCCAAAAGACATATATGCTACAGATCAAGAAGGAAACTTTAAGTGCCCTGCTCTTGGCTGTGTCAGGATATTTAAAAAAATTGGATTTCTAAATAAACATGCAAGGACTGTACATCCAACTGACCTAAATGTGCGGCAAACAGTAATGAAGTGGAGCAAAGGAAAATGTAAATTTTGTCAAAGGCAATTTGAAGACTCTCAACATTTTATAGATCATCTTAATAGACACAGCTATCCAAATGTGTATTTTTGTTTGCATTTTAATTGCAACGAGTCATTTAAGCTGCCATTCCAGCTTGCTCAGCACACAAAAAGTCACAGGATATTTCAAGCTCAGTGTAGTTTTCCAGAATGTCATGAGCTTTTTGAAGATCTTCCTCTGCTATATGAACATGAAGCTCAGCACTATTTAAGTAAAACACCAGAATCATCTGTACAACCAAATGAAGCAATTCTTTGGGATGTTCTTACAGACTCAAATCCTAACCATCAGGAGAAAGACTCATCTAGTAATGAGAAACAAACTATTAGTCCACCAGTTTCTACTAGCAAATCAAGGAAAGATTCTACAGAACCAAAGACGTGTACAGAAAGTATGGAAAAGAAAACAGACAATTTAGTTCAGAATGGTAATGATCATTCTGATGACACTGTTTCTGATACAAGTTTGATAGACCAAAAGATGCCTGACACAGAGCCAAATTCTGAAAATAACTGTAATATTAGTGATTTAGTCAATGGACACAACAGAATAGAGCAGACACCTGTAGTTTCATCAGATCCTGCTTTGAAAATTGATACAAACAGAATCAGGACAGAAAATGGTTCTATTTTACCCAGTGTTGTACCACAAGAACACAATACCCTGCCAGTATCTCAGGCACCTTCCAAACCAAATCTGACAAGTGAACATACTTCATATGGCTTAATTTTAACAAGGCCCTATGTCAGACCACTGCCTCCCAGTTACCTTGATGAACAGTACCTTAGTATGCCAAAACGCAGAAAATTTCTGACTGATAGAGTAGATGCCTGTTCTGAACAAGAAAACATTTGTAAAAAATCAGTGAAAAGATTAAGATGTGGCAAATGCCTGACCATCTACTGTAATGCAGAAGCACTTGAGGCTCACCTTGCACAAAAGAAATGTCAGACACTCTTTGGATTTGATTCAGATGATGAAAGTAAGTCTTCCATCTTCTCAATAGGTATATCTGGAGAAATAGAAAATGCCATAGATCTTTATGAGGTTATAAAAATTAACATTTTTAATGTTAATCAATGTTAACTTTGTATAGCATATAAAGCACTATCCCATACATTATTTCTTTTAATCTGTATGACCACTATGAAGTCATACTGCTATTCCAGTTTTATAGGTCAACTGAAATTCACAAGTTAAGTAATTTGCATAGGTACAGGCTTATGAACTTGTGGGAGTCAGAACTTGTACACAGTCTTGGACCATACTCTTTCACTGTATCTGAGGCTTTTCTTCATTCCAAGTTTCATGTAATAGAAATTCTGGAAGCAAAGTGATGATGATGAAAATGTTTTTCATCTGCATGCCAGAATGTAAACCAAGTAAGTTGAGCCTCTACTACAAAAACATAGGTAAAAACTAGAAAATAACTGAACCACAGAAATGAGCAAAGAGGTTGCCTTTCTACAAATAACAATATTTTTTGAAAGAGTAAGGGTATAATTAAACAGAAATCTGACTTAGAATTCCATTTGAATATTTATAAAATTTGAATTAACAGACATGTTCTGTTTTACAGGTGCCTGATAAAAAATGTTTCAGAAAGATCTGTCGATCAAGCAGTAGTGTGAAAAAAGCACTACAAGAAATGCATCACCAGTTTGCTATTTCCCTGATGGCCTTAATTTTAGAGCGGTCTTGGATTACTAAAGATAAAGACAAAGCACATTTTCTAAATGAGCTCAAAGAGGAGATGTGCTAGTTTAGACTCCAAAAGGGTTATTACAAAACTCCCAAAGTACCAGTTATCCAGAAAACCACATTTGTATAAAAATTGATGATGAATAGCAGCATGCTCAGTTCTTATGTGAGAAACATGTTCAGGCAACTAGTCAAATAGAAAAACCAGCTATGGCCTTACAGAAAGGGAAAAGTTAACCCATTATTTAAAAAAGGGGTGGTGGGGGGTGTTGTTTTACAATAAACAAAGTATTCTACAAATGGGATTTGTTTTCTTGTCATGCATAATCAGATTATATCCTCCCTTCTGCTCAAATATGGTTTAAGGAACCATTGCTACTGGGTTTATTATAATTTGGAAACTGATACATGAAAATAAAACTTGGTTTACCACCATGTTATCCATAAAAGATTATAACTTGTTCCTAGAGATGACTGATTAGACAGATCAAAGTTTAAAGAATAGCATGCTTAAAACAGTATTTGCTAATAAGCTCTTGATAAAAACCTTCCGTTTTCCATTTTTTGTAATTGAGTTATATTTAAAATGCAACGGTGTCAATTAAATAGAAAAAGTACCATCAGTAACTTTGGAGAACGACTGGAAGAATCTAAGACCATTAAAGGCTATCTAGTTAAAGGAAAACACTGAATTGCCAATTCCTCAATGTGAATAATGGTATAAGCACACTGGGATATTTCTATTTGTACATAGAGTAGTGTTAGGACATTGCTTGATGATTCATAGTAAGGTCCTTTAGACTTTAATGTGAGTTATCGAAGAATAGTCCTATAAAAATAACTGGCTGTAAAAGAAATGTCAGTTAAGAATCAGGTCAAGAAATCATTGATTTTATTCAGTTTGGAGAGTTAAGTCTAAAATAAGCCATACTACTCATGCTTTCTTATTTATTAGTGAAGAATTTGGTCTGAATGGTAATTTTTATATATAAAATATTTACACAAATTTGCACGAGAAGACCAAGACACAGTAAGTTACACTGATTTATTTTCTTTGATGACCAGAAATTTCCCTGAGGATTTTAACCTTAGTCAATAAATTGCTAAAACAAAAATGTTATTAAAAATACCCTCAGATTTGTTCCACTTATACATTCTCTAAAAGAGGAAGCTTATATACCATCTTTTACCTAATCGTGTGTTAATCTATACCAGGACTAACATGAACAAAAATGCAACGGTAAATTTTTCAGAACTGGAGCTACCAATGTACTAACATCAATCAGATATTCCAGTTACTCCCAACTGATACATTTTTGTTCAAAGCAGATAATCTTATCAGACCATATTATGATAGATTTTTGGATATTAAAGCTTGAATGAAGTTACTAATGAAGTGGGACATTTTTTCTGGGGGAGCATCTGGACTTTATTAAATTAGGATTTCTAGGTCATAATAAATACCCCCCCCCCCAAAAAAAATAGTTACCTATTTTATTTATTTATCATGGGCATTCACTACTATGCAATTGATAGTCATAAGTCCATTCCAATCAAATTTAGGTTTGTTTTTGTTCTGTTATTATATAGCCTACATTAGGCTGTGGAATTTACATTTAAATAATGTAAATAAACACAATTCAATCTTAAAATCCTTAAAGGTCAACTTTAAAGTTTTTTTTTAACATACTTGTTAACACTTTAGTTCTATTTCAGTTCAGTCTAAAATACATCATGCAATAAAAAGTCTGTTTGGAAATTAGTTCATTTGGAAAATGAATTTTTTAAAATTATAATTTCTGCTCTGTACTTTCTCCAGAAGTTTTAAAATTACAACTTTACATTTTATCATATTTTTAACTTTTTATTTTTTGTAAGTTGTAACTATTGACATAAGTCCACATCTGCAGATTATTTTTATTCATTTTGTAGTTCATACCAAGATGTTTTAAACATATTCCAGTTTTTTTTTAATTTTGATGTTTTATTTCTACATTTGTGTTGCTGAAGGAAAACTTTCTGAAATGCTGAGATCAAATTCATTTATACGTAACTAGATCAAGGAATGTTTTATAAAATTCTATTTGACCACACTGTTCTAACCTCTTTATATACTTCTCATATAATTGCTATTGAAAGAATGTGTACATTTTATTATGTATGTCTTATAAAAAATAAACTTAATCATTTTGCCTTTATTGGGTGCATAAACTTCCAACAGTTCTAATTTGGGATTTAGAAGAAAATGAAGCTTTCTTATTCCTCAGATTCTTCTCTTTCCTTTCTGTTCCTTCTATTTTGAGGGTGTTTATCTTACATGGACCAAGTTTCAGTCCTTTGTTTTTAAATAAAAATTTCTTGCAAAACATTAAGTATTAACTTTCTGCTGTTTCAGTAAGGTCAAAAAAATAGCAGATCTGAATTTTTGCTGCTCAGATACAGAGGAGGCAGAACGGGGAAATCTCCGTGGAAAAGGACACTGGTACTTTGGGCTTTAGCCATATTCTTTTTCTTTTAAAACCATCAATTACATAATGAGTAGATACTTTATAACACTGAATTTGTGATTCTTTGCAAATCACACTTGAAGGTTCAGCTGTACTCCTTTCATGTTTGGTTTAAACTTTTATGGATGAAAAATGTAAAAGGGATGGTAGTGTTTATTTTTTAATTTATTTGGTACTGTAAAACACCTTTTCAGAATGACTAAATGCTGCATATGCATTTTGGAATTGTTAATATGTGAAAGATACTAGAGATTCAGCAAGAAAGGAAAATTGTGCTTCCTTGTTGAACATTATTTTACTTTGCATTTTATAAGAGTACAAATTAAAACTGAGCCATTGAACTGCAATAAATCAACAATAGTGTCTCATTTCAAGAAGTTTTTTATACTGTACATAGATTTGTTCAATAAAACATTGTCCTTGTTGGTAATGAAGTGTTCAGTTTTATGTAGTACATTCCTTCTAAAGGAATTAGGCTTCAGATATATAAAGTAAGAAATTTCTATTACATTTCATAAGAGAATGAGGTATTTGTTAGTTTTGCCATATTCAGATTGTTGAATGACTTTTAGAAACATAGATATAAAAGCTTACATAAAGTAAGATATTTTTAGACATAATTTTAACTTATGCTCATATGGAGGAATTAGAGGTTGACAAAATGCTGGTTACTACCGTCATTCCTGTACCTGCAAACTTAGTGGGTGGAAGATACAACTTCAGAGCTCTCCAAAAGCAAGACAGTGGATGGACTTATTGATACTGGTAACTCTTCAAAAATAAAGAGCCTCTGGTGGAACTTAAAAAAACAAGACTGAAGTCACTTAGAAATATGATGTAAATGATGAAAATTACTTCCTACAGAAGCATTTCAGTGGGAAAATGTGTAAGCCAATCTGTGTCTAAAAGTTGCTTTTTGTTTTTTGGTTCACTAACAGGAAAATCTATATTATTTGCTGTAACTGACAACTGGAAAAAATGGGGGCTGAAGTAGAAAAACAGTCTCTTTGATGCCAGGAGATAGCTCTGCAAATGGAAGAACAGACACAGTGTTACAGTTATTTGCACATACAAGCCTGTTTTGAAAACTACCCAAAAAATTACTGGAGTGTTCTACGGCTGAGATTTAGAATCCTTAGTCTGTGATTTACAGTCCTTTGATCCTAGACTATTAAATAAACACACTAAGGTATTTAGATAAAGTTAGTAGGGTTATCTAGTCTTTACATTTTTCTTTTCTGAAATGAATTCTGGGAATCAAGCAAATTATTACAAAATATACATCCAAGATAAACTAGGTTGCTTTTCATAGCATAAGATCCACAGTGAATTCAAGAATTAGCTGATAAGAGGGATAGACGTTTTGGTTATGTATCAAGATTTGAAATGGAGGCAATCCAGTATTACATGAAATAAAAACTAAAACATGGGAGGGAGGTCCCTTCCTTACTTATGGGTGCTGCACACCAGAGAAGAAATGACTTCTAAGTTATACTTCATGTTACCCATAATTGTTAAACAACTGGAAGGTAGACAGGAACACTGCTTTTTAGAAAGCAAGACTCAGGTTAAATAACTTGACTAAAGTCACTCAGTTAATAAATGGAGGGTGGGATTGAAAAATCAGATGTGTCCTCCTAAAACCATAATGCCATTCAGTTTCCATTCTTTCATGCAATTTTCCCTATCAGTGTAGAACATGAGTGGATCTAATATATCCAAAAAGACCCAGACTTGTTTGAGGATCATGACCAGAGACAGGTGAAGTGTGGTACAGATGTAGTAAGCTGGTTGATGTTTCATTTTCATTCTCTTCCATTAGCAGTGATTCTTACACAAATATGGTCCCTGGAGTTTCAGAATCAGCATCACCTGAGAACTTGTTAGAAATGCTAAATTTTGGTCAGATAGGGGACCGACCAATCTGTCTTTTACCAAGTCTGGCTGATTCTGATACATGCTAAGGTTTGAAAACGACAGATCTAAAGCAACAAGCTTATTCATATTTCCCTAGGAGGTTAACTATTTCCCCTTAAATTTAGAGCCACCTTAAAAACCCTCAGTTTTCGGGACATTTAAAGAAGTCCTCTATTAATAGGTACTTCGGTAACTACTGTTGTGTGAATGGATATTTTAATAGTAAGATCTAATATCCTAAACCCCACTCTTAACTAGAGAACTTCTTATTTTTTCCAAGAAGTATTCAGTAAGTAAAACTACCAGAACCTAATTTAACGGGAACAGCTCAAAGAGGTTTGGGGATCAGTTGTACTCAAATTCCAGTATGACAGTTTTATGGTTGTGGAGTCTTAAGCTATTAAGGGCACTGTGTTAAAGGGAGAGAATGGTTCTTGGAAAGTTGTAAGAAAGACGATCAAAGATCTGTAAAGCACTGACCGTAATGATTTTACTATTTCTCATCACGTTGTGGCTCCCGTACTGTTTTTGGCTCCAGCCAAACAAGAGCCATGCTGTCTTAATCTGTGCTGTTCCCTTTTACCTCAAATCTTCATCCTCTTTCTGCCATATCCTTCTCCCTTTGCTTAATCCCTGGGTATCACCAATTTCTCCAGAAACCTTGATCTCTTAATAATTTCTGATTTCTCTACTGAAACCTACTTTTCCTAGTCTTCCTCCACTCAGTAAACACAACCCCAGTTACCTCCTCCAAAACCTTGCCATCATTCCTGCCTCATTAATTCTTCACTCTATCTCAAGCCACCATCTTCTTTCACCTGCACTACTGTAGCAGTCTCCTAATTGGGTTCCTTGTTTCCACCATGCCCTTGTCTGTTCCTCACACCAGCATCCAAAATGATACTGTTTAAAACAAGTCATATCATGCCATTCCTCAGTTTAAAAGCCTTCAATGGTGTCACAAATTACTCATTTATTCAACGGAATATTTACTGCATGCCTACTATGTGCCAGGCTCTGAAATAATCCAAGAAAAAAAAAAGAATTGATTCACAGAACTCACATTCTACTGGAGGACAACAAAAGCATAGTATAAATACTATGGAAAAAAACTAAGTGGGTAGAGAAAGGTAAGCATGGCATTGCTGGTAATGATTTTAAACAGGACAATGAGGGAAGCCTCTTTGATCAGATTTTGATTAGGGACCTGAATTAATTATGGGAAAGAAAGGCATTCAGGTATCTGAGGGAAGGATGTGTCAGGCAGAATAGCAAGAGCAAAGACTGAGGCAGGGACTTGGATGGCAAGTTTAAGGAACAAAGAGCAAGGGAACCACTGTGACTAGTCTAAATTGAGAGACTGAAAGAATAACAGAAAATGAAGACAGAGAGGTAAAAGAAAAGCCAAAGTCTTTATAAAGGCCTGTAAGATTCTAGATCTGTACTATCCAATACAATAACCACTAACCAATAAAATAAATGTTATTAAATATAAAATTCAATTCGTTAGCTGTACTAGCCATATTACAATAGCTCAGTAGCCACATGTGGCTGGCTTATAGTTACTGTATTGGACAGCATAAATGTGGAACATTTTCATTATCTCAGCACTTTTGGACAGGTGGTTCCATATTGTGGTTCTTAAATGGGGGTAATTTTGCCTCCCAGAGAACATTTGACAAATTGGAGGTATTTTTGGTAGCAACAGTTGAGAAGGAGGAATCTAATGGGTAGAGGCCAGAGATACCCTTAAGCATAGTACAATGTAGAGGACAACCCCACGACAAACTACCCTGCCCCAGTGCATGACTGAGAAACCCTGCTGTAGATCAATCCTGACTGCAACTCTAACCTCAGTGCTGTTTCTCTGCACAAGCTACTCCAGCCTTCTGGCCTCCTCCCTACATGCCAAGCAGTTTCTTCTGTAGAACCTCTATTATTGCCTCTTCCCAGAACACTCTTTCTCTGACTCACCCTCTCAGTTTTCAGGTCTTTCCTTCAGTGTCATTTAGAGAAGCTTTTCTGACAGCCTGTATAAGATAGCAACATCTTCTCCATCACCCTACTTTCAATTTTTCTCCATAGCATTTCCTGGCATAGCATGTTTCTTTCCATTAGAATGCAAACCCCCGAGAACTTGCATTTGTTCCCAACACAGAGTATATAACTGTAAAGTAGTCAGATGCTCAATAAACCCGTGTTAAAAGAAAGGATGAATGAATAAAAAAGTTGGGCATGCCTTCCAGATGGTCCCGCACCAGCATTATGAGCACTTATCTCTTGCAACTCTGCCAAAAGCTCCTTGAAGCAGGGTCTCTTTCATTTCTCTGCACAGTAGGCACTCATTAATGTTTAATGAAAAATGAAAAATTATCTGTTGAGTAAATAGCCCAAATAAAAATCCACTGGCAAATTAGCCATATATTGAATGCCTTGTTTTAAAGTCTATATTTACAGTGTATTTTATGACTGATATTTAGCTGCGACATTTTTTAAAAGTTAAATTTGCTCACATGGGTCTGCAGATAATGTACATTTCAGCTACTAAATGACAATACTCTAATTAAATGTTAACAAATCTAAAATCATGCTCAAAAATGGAAAAAGAGGCAAGAGACAATGTGCATAAAAGTCTGATTCCTCATCCAGGCTCGGTCCAGCAAAGCCCGTTTCTCTCTCATGAATGTGATTTGCTGTTATATTAACAATAATAAAAACAGCTACCATATATTGAACTCTTTCTAGGCTCCAAGGACCTGTGTCCTTCACCCCTCCTCGTAACCCCCGACTTCCCATATCCAGACCTAAGTTTCCCTTAGGGACAGATAAGGTATAGAGCTTGTCCACGCCACAGATAAGGTAGTAAATGGCGGGGTAAAACCAGGGAAATCTAGCCTCCAGAGTTCCCAACCTTAAACTGCTTGCGATACCTCCTCGCCTAAGACCAAATCAGAGAGGACAGAATGGAAGAAGCAGCCAATCCCAGCTTGTTTGAGAGAAAAGCAGGCAGGCATGGCGTAAGATAGGTGATTTTTTTCCGTAGCTCTTAAGAATACAATGTTTAACAAAACGAAAGTACTTTTACACAATACCATGAAACTTAAGAATCAAACTACAGGTGCACCCAACTCAGAAGCGGCCGCAGAGGACGTTCAAGAGCTCCCGGGGGCTGGGCCGGCGAGCGGGCAGAAGGCGCCTCCATTGGCCGGCCCCGCGGCATCACGGGAGCTCGCCGAGCGCGGGGACTATACCATCCGCTTTCCACGCACCTGCACTGCTTTTCCAGGCGTCTCCTGGAGGAGGGATTCCTGAGTTCAGCGCTTCACCCTCCGCAGCCAGCTCCCTCGTGGAAGGTCGATGTTCTTAGTGTGCGCGTGGTGCTTCCCTAAACAGATCTGTGGGCCAGCCCGGAACAAGTCGAGCTTCACGTTTCCTGACTGACCTCGACGGCGATCACTTCCGCCCAGGGGTCCGGAATACCCGAGGCCCTTTGGCGGCGAACAGGAAAGGTACTTCCGGTGTTTGTTGCTAAGGCGCCGGCTTGGTGGGCCTGAAGGGGAGACGGTGTTGGCGTCCTCCTCTCGAAGGGGGTCGAAATGTCGGGGCTCAGCTGCGAAGAGATGGAGGGCTGTCGTAACCTGCTCGACCTGCTGGACAACGACGAGATCTTGGCTCTATGCGACACTGTCACCAACCGCCTGGTGCACCCTGAGGACCGCCAAGGTAAGGGTTGACCCTTCTCCCGCAGGGCGGCCGCCCCTAGCCTCACGCAGACCCCAGGTTGCGGAAGCGTAGAAGACGAGATCCGAGGCTTTCCCGGGCGCAGGCCCCGCGCCGCGCTTAGGCGGAACCCTCGGCGTTCTCGGCCACCGCCGCCGCTCCGAGGCCTTTGAACCACCACGCAGCCTCGAGCGGCCCTGCAGGGGAGGTGGTGGCCCTGAAGCGGCGTGGCTTCCAGGTTTTAGCCGTTGAGTGTTAATAGGCAAATGCTTGTTTCGAAGGGATCAGGGTACCTGAAGAGTCCTTTAAAAACATTTCTGGGGAGCTTTCTGTTTCCAGTTTCTATCTGAGGAGCCTCAGCTGCGGCTCAGTTATTTTTCTTCCCGCTTGAGGGACTATGTCATAAACACTTCAGTCACGTAGGTGAAACAATCGCTGTAATACGAGAGTAGATAGTTTGAATCCATGTGTCTTTTTGGATACAAATTTTTTCTGAGATGTAGTAGAAATACATTATTTTTAGAACCAAAAACGTTTCGGTAGAGTAGATTTAAAGGATTATTAATAGTCAACCTGATTGCAACTAGTCGATGTGCAAATGTAATGCGTAGTTTACGCTCTTACTTCGTTTTATATATCACCTAGGTAGTTTTATTTTAGATTTGCTGAATTTTACTTTAAAATGTGAAAATTTCATACCCCTAAGTATCTACAAAAGATTCAGCTTTTTAAAACTATTTGCCTACTAAAAGTCGATTTCACATTTTTCCCATTTAAGAAAATCATTTATTTGAAACTTCGAACCATGAACATTAAAAGGAATTTCTAAGAATTTCTCCTGAAAATAGTATTAGATCTAATGTAGTTCTTCAGCATTTATATATATTTTACATGATAATCACCTTCTAACTGAATGAATGTAACATTTTTAATAGAAGTGCTGGATTTATTGATGGTGGATCTAAAAACAAATAAGAAAAGTAAACTTTCCGGTACAAAATGTTGAGACATTTCTCAGACAGGGAAAAAAATCAATAAGCATATGAAAAAATAACCTCTGTAGAAAGCAGTGAAATGGAAACCAAAAACACTGTTTTTTCTGCCTACCAGATTGGCAAAAACTAAACTTGTAAACTGTTGGTGATCATGTTAAGCAACTCTTAACAATAATTGCTGGAAGACTGTAAATTCGAACTTGGGAAAACATTTGGCATTATTTCTTAAAATGGAAGATTTACATATGCCTACGCTCATATTCTAGACCTGAGCTGCTCAAACTTGAATGTGCCTATAAGTCAATCCTTCTGGAATCTTGTTGAAGTACAGATTTTGATTGAGTAGCTGGGGGTGAGCCCAGAAATTCCACATTTCAAACAAGCTCCCAGTTGATGTTCATGCCATGCTGCTTGCCCTTCTGCTCTGGGAGACATTTTTGAGAGTGTCGACAGATATAGTGTTTATAATTGGACACACACAATGAAAGTCTATAAACGGAAAGGTACCTTGTTAACATCATTAACAGTGATGTCAATTAACAATGTACAACACTGAAAATGACTTAGAACAGCATATGTAACATAGCTTAATCTAATCATAGAAACAACATTAAATGAAAAGCTGGCTACAGAAAACTACATATTCATGGATTAAAGTTACAGGATGTTCAAAAAATATAAAACTATATTATTTAGGGATACATAGTTACGCTGTACTGCTATAAAGAAAAGCAAGGTTATTATAAAGGTTAGCATTTAGGTAGTGGCTCCCTTTACAATGGGTGAGAAGGAAGAGAGAATAGTGTTGAGTAGGGAGCTATAAAATGAGGGCCTCAAAAATACTAGTAATTTACTATGTCTTAAGCTAATGATGTGTATATGGAAGTTCATTTTACTGTTCTGTATACCTAACATGTTAAAAATAATCTTTGGTCTGTTTAATTTCTTAAATTAGAAAAAGAGTTTACAAGTGTTGTAAATGACTTTAGGTCAATTGGATGTCCATTATTAGAAAAAATTTTTTCTCAGGTTCAAATTTTTTCTTAAAACACCGTTCTTAAAAGAAAATGCTAAAATGTCACCATCTTTTATGAGAAGTCAAAGGAAAAAGAAATTTAGGTAGTGTAAAGCATAAAGAAACTTTTAAAACATAAAACCTGACAACCCTCTTCCTGGTCTTTAAAGATGACAGCTATCTTAGGCAAAGCAATAATGCCTTGACAAGAATTTATAAATATTACTTGATAGAATTTCTGCTGACCCTGCACAAATTTGCATGTGACTCATGATTTTCTGTTAATCTTTGCAATTCCTTTTAGATGCCATTCATGCAATATTAGTGTACAGCCAAAGTGTAGAAGAACTTTTGAGACGCAAAAAAGTCCACCGAGAAGTCATATTTAAGTACTTGGCATCGCAGGGAGTTATTATACCTCCAAATACTGAAAAACACAATCTTATTCAGCATGCAAAGGAATACTGGACAAAGCAGTTGAAATTGAAGGAAGTACCAGAGCCAGTTAAGACACAGGACCTTAGGGTCTTTCAGCAGGTAAGGTAGATCGTATATCCTGAAGCATAATTCTGTCTGAAACTCTTTAATCCTAAATCAGTGGTAACATGATTAATAAATTTTTTTACAATTTTAGCTTTACTTATATATTGTTTTGCATCCTAAAGCAAGACCAATAAAGCATCTAAGAAAACATATTTCTAATATTTAATTATGTTTATAAAATGTTCTATTGATTTGTGTGGGGGAAAAATGTTTTTATCACCTTATCAGATGAGCACTATTGGGTTTTCAAAGAGAATGGATAAATTATAGGATCAATTTAATTTTAATTTAATCTCTAATTTTCTGTGATTTTTTTTTCCACTTTAAAGAATACTGTTGTAAGCCCTTTCTCATTTTGAAGATTTGTTTGCAAAAATTGCATGAAAGAAGTAATTTTTGTATTTGACTTTTTTTTTTAGCAGAAAATACCCTGTTGTAATGATTTCCTCTGATTGACTTTGGCTGTTTTATAACTTTGTATTTTCACTGTACATTTTAGATACTGTGTCAGTATATATTAGTTGAATAAACCTGTAGGCTATTTGCAGATTTTTTAACCATGTACCACATAGTTTGAATTAATGATGTTTTACAGTGAGAGATATTTTCCTTCAAATAAGGAAAGGATCTTCCAAGGGCTTTCTTAATGTAATGAAAAAGACATTGACATCAAACTCATGAACTTGAGGAAGTATAACTTGACCTTTTTAAGCCCTGTGTACTTCATCTATAAAGTGGGCATAATGATAAGATCTATGTCATAAGGCTTGTGAAGATAGAAGGAAATAGCAGTAAAGTGCTGAGCACAGTGCTTAATATATTCAGCAGCCCCGATACTAAGTACAAGATTTCTTGCCATCTAAATGAGGAACTGTGCTCTGGAATTGGAATGCATAGATGGATAAAATCTAGTTTATCAGATATGTTTTTGTAGTAAAATTTCCTTTGGAAAAAAAATAATATTCTAATTGTAGGAAATTATTTCAGTCATATTAGAAATATCTCTCTAAAGATAGTGAAAATGCTTATTTATTATTGACTTTATTGTGATATAATTCATATGCAGAAAATGACATCCATTTAAAGCACCCAGCTTGATGGTTTTGACAGTTTGAAACCACTGCCACAATCAAGAGAAAATGCTTATGTAGATCATTATTGGTTGTTTATGCTCATATTCTAAGAGGCTTTATTAAATCTTAATTTCTTAGCTGAATTTTCAGGTGTGTAAGCTGGGAAATTCTAAAATGATTTTTCCCCTTTCTAAAAAATTTTGCTGTGCGTGATGGGTTCAGTGAGTTTATATGTAGTTACTTTCTGCTGTAATCAGTACATTAAAACTTAGCTTTGGAACAGGCCACATAAAAACATGTATATGAGAACTAACCTTGGTTTTACACTTATCTTAAGCAGCATGAGAAAGAAGATAAAAAAGCTGAAAAAGTTGATTTTCGTCAATTGGGAGAAGAATTTTGTCACTGGTTCTTTGAACTTCTTAATTCCCAGAATCCTTTTCTGGGATCACCTCAAGATGAATGGGGGCCACAGCACTTCTGGCATGATGTCAAGCTTAGGTTTTATTACAGTACATCTGAACAAAATGTGATAGACTACCATGGAGCAGAAATTGTGAGCCTTCGTCTGCTGTCACTGGTGAAAGAAGAATATCTTTTTCTCAGTCCCAATCTAGATTCCCACGGACTGAAATGTGCTGCTTCTCCCCATGGTCTAGTTATGGTTGGAGTTGCTGGGACTGTCCACCGAGGGAACACTTGTCTTGGCATTTTTGAACAAATCTTTGGACTCATCCGCTGCCCTTTTGTGGAGAATACTTGGAAAATTAAATTTATCAACCTGAGAATTATTGGAGAGAGTTCCCTTGCTCCTGGAACATTAATGAAACCAACTATTACATTTGAACCAAGTGATTTAGAGGCCTTTTATAATGTTACCACCTTATGTGGTACCAACGAAGTACAACTTAGTGTAAGGCAGGCATTGGATAGTGGAACTGGAGACCAAACTTTGTGTAGTGGAAATGAGGCATTGCTGAACAAGAGAGAACTGACTTTACCTAATCCTCTAAAGCATTGAGCACTATATGTCTGTCTAAAAAACCTATACAGAAATTCTTCCGAATACTACATCAGAAATGTCTAAGTGATTTCAGATGCAAGGATTGATATATTTTAGTTGAAACATCTTTCCTGACTACAGACTAGCATTACATGAATACTTGCTTCTTTCTACCTGAGTTGCAGCAAATGATCTGAGAGCTTAATGCAGTTCATCAAATAAATACCGCTTTAGGTGGTCTAACTAACGGTGTGCCTTAGAAACCAGGTAATATTTTCATTTTACTTAGTCAAGGTGTGCTAATATCTGTACTTTTTATGTGGGAAAGAATAGTGTTCAAGGCTTTCCCCTTTCAAGTTTCTCATTTACTTTTATCTAAATCAGGATAATTTTACAAAGGTGTCTCATGACAATATTGTTTAAAAACATATTTTAGAGGTGTTTAATGAAAACTCAAAGTTCTTATTTTAGAAACTTGAATGACATTCTTATGCAAAAAGTCCAATAATTTAGCAGGTGGAGAAAAATTTACTTTGCCTTTTGAAGTTTGAGGAGTATTTTTTCAGTCACGTACTGTAGGCCAATCTAAATATATAATCTGCAATGTTTTCTGGACTACTTTGAGCAATGATAAGTGCTGTTCTCCAACCTTATTCTTACCTAAGTGTTCAGCTAACAGTTCTATAGAGCAATTATTGTAACAGCAGATAAAGGAAGCATACTGTTGAAATTTTTTAAAAGGTGTGCCCAGTTTCTAGCTCTTAAATGAATCCGTTTTTCCTCTTGATTGATCTTGGAAGAGGTGACCAAAATAACCACAAATTATAATATGGGCATACATATATATATACACATGTTTATAGACAGACTCCTACATCATAAAATTATTAGGATTTTTCACCTCTAATTTGTTTTACAAGGTTTGAATTAACACCAAGTTAAGTTGCCAGATAATACATACTTGCCTTAAAGTGTGTGAGATTCCTCATCATCCAGCAGCTACTTGCTGATCCTCGATCTAGGTGGTAATTTTAATTTATAAAATGCAGTTTGGAACAAATTCAGTTGGGAAATGTTTTGATGAGGCACTGTATCTGTTATGTTTTTACCTTTAACACTGCTTGTGATCATCCACTGTGACTGATAGGAAGTTTGGAAGCAAGAGGAAAAAAATTCATCTTTTTTATTCTTTCAATGTCATGCCTCTTATGAGGAGTACAAATTGATGTTCTAAAATAAGAACTTAATAAAGGAGGGAAATCCCTTTTGTCTGTCTTAACAATAGTGTATTGTTTAGACTTAAAGCCAGTATATCTTTTTCTTAATTTTCAAGTATCCTTATGACATGTACTTGATTAATATCCTAAGTAAAGGGTAAAATGAAAAACTATTCACATCTGGTTTTTTGTGCTGTTGGTGTCAAGTACTGCAGAAATACTAATACAGATGCTCAGGATGGGTAGAAATTGCCAATGGTTACCTTCAATACTGGATGTTTGAATTTGTGTAATGCTCAAATGCTCTCATGTTCTTTTACTCACCTTTACAAATTTGAAGTCTTCCTGATAGACTTAATCTCTTTTGAAGATTAGAGCTATGTTTTATTTCTTGTGAATCCCCATAGCTTGGGCACACAGTAGGACCTCATGTTTAACTTGAATGGGTCGAAGAATGAGCAGAAACAGGTTACATACTGTATACAAGAATTTTGTGTATCTAGATTATATCTTTGGTTCTATCAGTGGTTTTTTGATCCTATCAAAAAATGTCTGAATTCACATGTGGACACCCACAAACTTTCAGGCCCCAAACTAACTGAGCATTTGGGGGAAATTGTAACTTACCTTTGAAATTTAGTTAATTTAAAAAGCCCAAGGTCATAGTGTGATATACTAGAGGGCCCCATTACTAACTAGAAACCATTATAGGGGAAGTATATATACTTACTACTTCAGAGAAAAGAAGATCTGAAGGAAGTGAAATTTACTCAGGAAGCTTAAAGGTTGGTCAGGCCTTTGAGAAGATCCAGAAACACAGTGCAGATTGAACTCTATTTTTACTACACCAGTTGCTCTGTTTATGTGAGGAATGTCAAACATCCCAGCTTTATGTTTCTTTTGTTTCATTACATTTAGCTGGTATTTGGAAAGTCTGTGGAGTCAAGTAGTAAAAAATGCAACACTCTACACATAATTCAAATACCTTTAAACAATGTGGAAGTTAGGGGCACTGACCTCTGTTGAAAATCCACATATAATTTTTGATACCTAAAAACCTAACTACTAATAGACTACTGTTGACCAGAAGCCTTACTGATAAACATAAACATTCAGTTAACATTTTGCACGTGTATCATACACTGTGTCCTCACAAAAAAGCAAGTTAGAGAAAAGAAAATGTTCACATTGTCACAGAACTTCAAAAAGTCGTGAAAAAAGTCCACATGTAAGTGGACCCACATAGTTCAAACCTGTGTCTTTCTAGGGTCAATTTTAATTGGTTCATGAAACCCGGTGACTACCTGGGCTTTATTTGCTCTAGGCTGATTTGTTATAGCCTAGTAATGGTACACATCAAGTATCCTTTTTTGTTAAAAAATCTTAAAGTAATGGTTATATTGTGATATTTTGTTAGTATCTAGAATGCCAAAAATATTTCATGTGTTTTATTAACTAAGATACCAAGTAACAGAAAAAAATACCATCTCTGTTTAGTCAACTTATAAATGGCAAACTCAGTCAAGAAAATACTCCTGGGTTTTCACAAAGTAACATTTTTATACTAAAGGAAGGCTGAATACCTAGTCCCAGTAAGAAATTTTAGTAACACCAGAAAGTGATTAAAAGAATAGGGTTTAATGTTTAAAAAGGTAATCAGAAACACTGTGTTTTAACAAAAGAGCTCTTATGTCTAAATAGATCATAAAACAAACAAAAACCATACTTTAACAATTTTTCTTAGTATCTCTTTTCCCAAATTTAAATGTACTTTTATTCACTGATTCTTAATTTAGGTTTTGGGGGCTGATCATCAACCTTTTGAAAATTGAGAACTATGTTCTTTCTCCCAGAAAAAGTATGTTTGCATAAAATATTACAAATTTTGTATGTTTCAGTGAATTGATGGACTTCCCTAAAGCACATTTGTGAGTCCTTATGATCCAGTTAAAATCCTGCTCTAATAGTTTTATTTCCCCATACTACTACTCTTTTATACCAAAATTCCTAAGGTAGAGCACTAAATCTGTATGAATGAAAGGGTAATCTCTAGGAACTCTGTAAATATGAAGAAAAAATATTCTTAAGACTTCTACAAGAACTTTATCCTTAGATGATGTTTAGTAATGATTGTATATTGCTAATTCTGATGAAGTATTTTAAAGATAGGACCATTTCCTCTGAAGAGTCTATATGGATATTGTCACTTTACACCACTCCTCTTACCTCCTTTAAGCCTGTTTATTACCACTGTATACAGTGAGTTTGAGTACAGATATTATAGTTGCCATGCTGGGAAATGACTCTGTGGATCTGGGTTCTTTGCTTCAAGTTTATTTGGCATATATTTGAGAATCTCAGTTTGTAAGTCAATCAAGTGCAAGATAAGATAATGCATCGATAGGTTATTTCCATAAACTTACATTGAATTCAAATCTTACTGTCTGGATTTAGAGGTGAGAACTACTTTACACCCTTTGCAGAGGAATTCAGTTATATCTTTTATATGGTCAGAAAAAAAAACACTTCATTGAAATTTTAAAAAGCTATATGGCTCTAGCTAAGCCATATTAATTTTATCAATGCAGAATATGGAATAGTTTGATAAGCCACTGTAGAGTTAGAAGGAAAATCCTTCAGAGTGCATTAAATCCTCTTAGCTTTATTTTTTCTAGTTTGAACCTTTCCAGTAATCTTTCAGCTAAGTGTTAATACTAAAGTGTGCTATTTACCATGAGTTATAATGTACCCTAAAGTAGTCAACTAGAAATTCTACAATTACTTAGTCATGAAATGTTAATAGAATCACTAGCCTAGAATTTGGTCCTCCTAATTTCTATTCCCAGTACTGCCAAATTTATTTCCTTTATTTACTGAGTTGTTTACTGAGGGTTCTTTGGTTAGCACTTTTCAGGTACCCTAAATCTCAAGTATAAAATTAGTTACATTTGAATTAATTAATTTAAGAACTGAAGGAATCCCCTACTGCTCACTGCCAGCTGTTACTTGTCTGATTTTGATGTTTGCCTGAACAAAAAAACAGTTACTTAGGAAAACCTTTTTCCTTGAAGCACTTAGTTTAATAAGTTTGCATTAATCTTTCATATTTTACTTTACTAATATCATAGTTCTCAGATTGTTACATGTAAGTCACTTTTACCTCCCTAAATTGATAAATTCCTGGAACTGGTGATTCTATTTTTTTTCAGTCTTCTTCCCCCTTATGCCCCGCACAAGATAAATAGTAGCTAAATTTTGAGTGCTTATTATATGCCAGTTGCTTTTGTGTGTATGTTGCATGTATTAACTCATTCAGTCCTGTGGACCACTAATGAGATTGATAACATCCCTCTTTTACAAGACAAAGGGTTGAGTAACTTCCCAAGCTTTCAGACTTAATGGAAGAGCCTAGATTGAAACTGAGAACCTTGTAACCAACCACTCCATATTGCCTCCTAAATATAGTAGGTTTTTGATGGATCCTTTTGACTGATTATCTGCAGTATGTATATGTAATGTATACTGTATACTCTTAAAAAAATTACACCTCTTAAGTTATTCATGTAGTAATTTAAAACCACTTGGAGAAAACATGCAGAATGTTCAATTATGGTATTACTTGTGAAAAATAATAATCAGGTAATATAACTATTTAAAACTTAACCTCAAATTTCTTGAACTCACTGTCCCACCAAGATCTCTAATCCTCTTCTCTTTCTGTTTATGACACCATGTGCCTTTAATCTCATAATAGTCTTTGTTTCACACACTGAGTATCTTACCACACACCCACATGTAGCATATCAGTATTGTTTTCTGTTTCAGTTGCTGCTGTAATTGGACTCTTTACCTAAACCTTGACTTATTTTAGTAATTTATTTCTTTGCTTTACTATTTTTTATGTATTTGTAACAGATTAAAATTTCCTTAAAATGTACAGCTTTCATCATATCGTCCATGCTCAGAACTTTCACTTGTGTTGTATTACCTCCAAAATAAAGTCCACAGACTTCATACCCTGGTTTTCATCACCATCTAAGTTTGATTCCCCTCATTTTCATTTATTGTTTGGTCCCATCAACATCTACTAAATAGTCTTTGTATTTATCCTGTGCTTGCTTAGTTCTCTGCTGTCTTGGCAAGTACACACATTCCCAATATTTGATGGTTTGATTTTCAACTTTACAAATGATGCAAAAGTGAAATAACACGTTCAGTGAAAACCATACTTTGAATTTTGATCTTTTCCCAGTCGAGGAATAAGGGACACAGTACTCCCCCATGATGCTGATCAGAGGCAGTCATCTGCAGCTCGCATTCAGCCACATGATCGGGAGGGAAAACAACCTATACATTTACAACCATTCTGCTTTTCACTTTCGGTAAAGTATTCAGTAAATTACGTGAAATATTCAACACTTAGAAATTGGCTTTATGTTAGATGGTTTTGCCCCACTGTAGGCCAGTGTAAGTGTTCTGAGCATATTTTAAGGTAGGATACACTAAGCTAGAATGTTCAATAGGTTGTATTAAATGAGTTTTCAATTTAGGATGTTTTCAACATACAATGGGTTTGTGGTGACATGACCTCACTAAATCAAGGAAAATCTATAAAAATTGTAGACTTTTAATTTTTTTAATGTTGCAGATGGTTTGTTAATATATGGTAGAAAGAAAAGGACTGGTTGAAATTGAGTTTAAAAACTGGAAATTTCTTCAACTAGGTTAAGCATTTTTTTTCTCTTTAGTAGGAGTTTTTTGTATATCATCTGTCTATAAGAATCTTTCCCCAGCTTCTTTTGTGGCGGCTTCATTTTCATCTTTGATGATTTGGCTTCAATAATTTGTTTTGTCCTCTGTGACCAAGTGGACCTTCCTCTTAATATTTGTTAGAGCACTTTTTTTGAGGCTTAGCATGTTATTGTTAGTTTACTAATTTGTGACTCTTCCCAACTAAATTTTAAACAGCACGTTTTAGTCAAAAGTTGTTGACAGAAGGCCAAATTATAAAATGCAGTAATCTCCAGTAAAAATAAAGATGATAATAGAATAATCAAATATAGTTGATTCCTTCAAGAAGACTGAGTAATGGAAATTGGCAAATATATAAGAGTGACATTGGAGACAAATGGCAGGTTTGGGATAGGATTTTTCTGTAGGAAGTATGGCCCTGTATGGTTACTGCTCATAAGGTCATTGAAAGTTACCTTAGGAAGTTTGAAACGGAAAACATTTATTTAGTAAAGACAAGAAAGTTTCCTGTACTGACTGCACTGATTGGAAATACAGCTTTATGGTAGAATGAGCTTAGGGTACAGAAATGATTGCAATAGAGAAAGTAAGCATGTCAGGGGATTTAATGCTGTGGAACCAGTAATAGAACAATTATAAAATCATTAAACATCCATAAGACTCTCTAGGAATTTAAGTGTAACTGCAGAATAAATAAGCTATAAATTCTGATAACATTAAGATGGCACAAGAATTTTGGACTGAGAAACTTGATTTTAATAATATATCAGTATTTTCTCTTAAATGCTCTTCTTTCAACTTGATAGACAGTTATTGAGCACTTACTATGTAGTAGATATTTTAACAGAAGATGATACATAAAATATCTTCTGGTTTCTTAAGCTTTTCTCATTTTATTTGTATAAAGTAATATTTACTATTTAATAAAGTTTATTTTATTAGAAAGTGTTTCTCTGTGATCTCTTATTGATCCTCTTATTACTGCTGTAACTAGTATCTTTTGGTGCTTAATCTGAATTCTAGGTAAAATCCTAACTTTTGGATGAGAGCAATGCTGCTAAAAGAATGGTGATCTTAGGTAAATAGTTTGGTAGTTTCAGAGGGAAAAAATGCACTGAAACATTTTTTTCCACATCCCATATATTTTGCAGATTTTATGCACAGAACACATATTTTGCCAGTTTTAAATGTAAGGAAAATTTCATTAAGTTTTTAACAGTATTATGTTCTATCATTAGGTGCATATGTAACAAGGACTGTATTGGTCAATTTACCTCAGTCAACATGAAGTCAACAGGATGGTCCTCATCACTGTGTACTTTCTGATTAATTTTAACTTTTGCTTGTATTTTATGGTTGACTCACATATGAGGTTCAATTCACAAATATGACTCATTGAAACAGGATGAAAATAGTAACAAATAATGCCATTCATAATAATGCCACAATGTGAATAATAGAACTTCAGTGTGAATACAGAATTAGAATCTGTTATGAAAGAGATTTTGTGAGTGTGATATTAGCTGAATTACATAAGGAAGGGGAATGATGAATACCTGCAGTTCATTCACCACAGGGCAGTTACATGTGGCCTGTCAAATATTTGCATGTTGCCATCTAAGTTTTCCCGTTATTTTTAAAGCACATTGATTTATCCGGTAAATTAATTTAGATAATTTCATTTTTCCTGAATAATTGTAAACCAATATATCCCAGCTTAGAATTTGTCATGCAAGGTGGGAAAGAGTTCAGAATTACAGAAGCATTATACAGAGTTGCATTCCTTAAAATAAAACCAAGTATAAGACACTGTTGCCAGTTACTATCCCATACACCTGGCACACAGCCCACCAAGCACATAGTGGCAGGAAGCCATCTCACTTTAGTTCAGTCACCCTGCCTCAGAAGGGTCCTTGCCTTAGATCCATCACTTGGACTTAGGCATACTGAGCATCTCGTCTTAATGATAATGTCCATTTTCCATCTGCGTTGTGTCTTCAGATGTAATCTTCAGATATAATGCACATTAGCCTCAGAACCAAGAAGCATCCTTACATGTCAGTCTGAACTTGTAACTTGGTTCAAATATCAGTAAGTCTGTAACAGTAATAATTTAAAAAGATACTGTTGCTGAGAAGCTTCTAAAATCACAACATTAATAATATAAAATCAGGGATTACAAAACTAGCTATTAGAAAAGATCTGTCAAAAAGAGAATTGCATGATTCAGTTGCATCATGGAAGAGCAATTCCTATCACATGTGTAGAGGGTATTTTGTGTAGCAGACAGAACCACTGATGTGAGGTGTCTGAATCATTATTTGGCATATATGTATTACATACATGCGTGAAGAGTCCTTAACAACGTCTTGTTCTGTTCATCCCCCAAAACGCGTGAATATAGAAAAGAAGATTACACTGGGAAATAAGTTTTGGTGACCACTAAAAAGGATGTGTCGTGATCTGTAATGATGGAACACCAGCTTTTTGGGCAGCAGTGAAGGTGGTTGTTAGGTAAATAAAAGGGTTATACAAAAGTCAATCAGCTCATCCCCTTCTTAAAAGACAGCAGTTAAGTATCAATAATAAACCATTAAGATGCTGACTCAAGTGTTTAAGACAATAGAAAATACAGTTACATTTTATCAGTTAAGTCTACACCATTTTTATAATGATGAAAAACTGGGCAGGAAGTTAGAAGACTTTTTCCCTCTGATACTGTCTATTAAGACGAAAGGTGTTCATACATGGTTTTGAGATAAGATCATAGATTAAAAACATTTTTTTGAAACACTGTTAATGTCAGTAAAAGGCTTCTCTTTGATTTAGGTGCCTTCTTTGAGTGGCATATCAACCAGTCTATGTACCATCTTGAAGCTACATCCCTCCAGGTCTGTTACGTGAATTGTAATGGCAAGTTAATCAGATTATTTTAAGATTACACAACTCTTGTTAGAGATGGCTCAGTTCTACAGAGCTTCATCCCTACCCCCACTCCCATCCCCCATCTCATTTTCTTGGTATACTGCAGAAACATAATACATTGGGGGTATTTAATTAAAATCATGTCCAAATACTGCAATAAAACATGAAAAATACTTCTTTGAGCTGAAAACAAAGGACAGATTGGGAACCCATTTAACACCATCTGCATGTAGATTTTTCTTTTGGTGACTAGGTTGAAGATTATTGTGAAAGAAAGTATATAACTGAAGAAGAATTGTATAAGTGGATCAATCAGAAAAACACGTTTTGTAAATCATATGCCTATTCTTAGAATATCAGAGCAATCACAAGTTTCCTCTTTCTGTATGAAGATGGTAACAGAACAGAATTATGGGAAAAAAGAAAACTGCTTATTCCTGTAGAGGCTCATCAAGTTGTATACTAAAACCTTATGCTAGTCAGACTTTATATACTGTTCTTACTTACAGAAAAAAAAAAAAGCAGTAATCACCTTTTCACACAAACTGAAATCATCACCTGCATTTTTCAGCAACCATTCAATGCACTTTCTGTTCTCATAACTCCAGAATTCTGGCATTTGTCAGAGATCATTTCACTATCTTTTACTTTCCACCCAAAGTTTGAAACATTTTCAGTACTGGAGTGAAAAAACTTTGAAAGAAATTATTTCCTTGTGTTCACATTCTATGAATAGTAAGTACTAGCATTTTAAGAATGACATCATTTATCAGTAGGAAGTCTTTCCAGAAGCACAAGAGCAAGGACATGTTTTTATACTATATATTGGAGGGAGGGGGGATTTTCATGAAATTATTTTTGTATTTGTTGTTCTTTCCTAGCCAAAATAAAGCTTTTTTACATTGTCATAATTAGTAAGTGGGTAAGTACGTCATATTTTTGTTCCTATATTCAGATGGCATGCTCTGATGTCTTCATTTTATAGGTTAGTCTTTGTAAGGTGGAAGTTGTGATGCCCTTGGATTTGCACACTGGGGGAAGTCTCAAGAGTTGTACACAAGTGCCTTTAAAATACTTCTACTCCCATTTGCTACACTTTAGATAGTGATGAGTTTACTTTTTAACTGTAATAAATGTTGTTCTGAAGACATTAAAATTACAGAGTGCTATAAGTATACATCATTCTTGAATAAGCATTGGCTTATTTTTTTCAAGAATAAGTGAACTTGAATTATAAAAAGTTTTAGGGGCTGCATAGAA